AAGTTTCCTTCCCCATCTTTCCATGCCTGTCTCTACCAGCTACCCATACTCTAATCATATCAGACCGACCTCATTTCTAAAACTTTCCACAGTCTGTTTCAACCCCATCGCCATTCCCAGCACCTACAGGCAGTAACACAAGTTTTACCTCGGACTGACTATGGGATCTGATATCCCAGACCAGTATACCTGTTTTTGAATGAAACTCCTTTGTGTGTCCCCATATTCTTCATTTCTTCTACACCTCTCATGCTGCGAAAGATTTCTCCATAAACTCTAAAAGATACCAATGTAGTTCCTTAGATCCCTCTTCAAAACTCTCCTTCACTGTGATGTTTACAAAAAAATTCATACAGTTTAGTCAGTTTAGTCTATTACTATTTAGTCTATTACTAGACTGTAATTTAGTCTATTACCATAATCAACCAGACAAACCAGAAGTGCTTCTCTGATTCTTTATACCATCCATTTGCATCCGTCGTGGTCTGTGTTAGACTATACTCTCTGGAGCAAAGAGCGCCTTGTCTCCAAGAACACACAAAGCCAACACAGAGAAGTCTATGTATGCCTTTGTCGTGTATTTTTCAACACTGGAGAAAGTACTTTCATTTTAATTAATGTATTCCATTCAATTCCATTTTAATTTCACTCTGTCATTAGAATACAGGAAGCTGAATAGATGTGTATTAGCTTAGCCAATTTATCAACTTCAGCAAACACGTCAGTCAAGAAAAAAAAAAAAAGAGCATTAAAGTCCTTTTTGATCTGCGCCGCTCAAAGCTTCTGCTCAAAGCGGCAGAGACAGGAAGGTGGGAAGCAGCTTCCACCACCGAGATTGCTATGGGCCATGCCTAGCAATTCGGCTCAAGACCAGCTTCTTCACTTGGGTAAAAGCGCCCTGTTCGCCCTGGTTGGCACACATGCACCCCACGTTACATGACGCAGTCAAGAGGCCAGAGAACTATGAAGGCTTTGAAGCCACCACTTTAGACTGCGATTGTACCTGCCCTTATCTGGAGTTGCTTCTTAAAGGTGTTGACAGTCCAGTGGTGATGGGAAGAAAGATTTGAAGTTTCCCACTAATTTAATTACCATCCCAAAAGTAGGTTTTCATAAAGACATTTTTCACAGGCCTTCTCTCAGGAGCAACAAACCGAAATTCTCAACAGATGTTAGAAAAAAAAAAAGACATATCAGTTGGTTAGTCTCAGAAAAATGGAAAGTGGAAGGATAAAAGTATTGCCAGGATACCAAGTAAATTATAATTCCTTTCATACTGCATTTGTTCCATGGGGAAAGCTGTTAAAGTACCAAAGAAGTAAAAACCTGAAAACCAGTTTAGAGTGGAGGAAGTTAACTGGTGTGACAGACAAACCGTGCCCGGGGATATTTTAGCAGACACTATCACGTGACTGAATTTTGCTCATCAGTTTTGATATGTTGTCACTGACAAGCACTTATCTGCAGAGCAATCTTTTAATTAACTTCTTTTTTCTGCAACATAATTCCATCCGTACTTACAGCTTCATTTTACATACGGTTCATTCTTACAAAGTAAAGGCTAATGGCCCCTTAGATGCACTTTAGCACTATCTCAATTTTCAGAATGCATCAGTATCCAAAGCCTCTATTACTGCCCTACCTCGCTAACTGCTTCTTTATTTGTAAGTAAATGAATGGCCACTGTTTAATAATAAACACATCAGAATCCTAAGAAACCTCGCTCATTTATAAGATGATGCCAGGTCTTCTGAATTTTTCAAATTGAACTGACAACAAAAATGAAAAATCTGTTCTGAGGCATGAGTAATTTAGGCAAAACTGGTAATTTATAAAAGCAAGAATATTTGACAAACACGACCTTTTATCCATGAATGCTGTCTGAGCATTGCTATGGATTTTTTTTTTCTGAAGAAACTGATGTTTTTCAATACATGTTAGGAACTGCACATAAAGAGCCTACTAGCAGTTTATTTAAAGATCAAATTTGAGAGTTTGCTGGCACAAGACCTCATCCCTGTCTCTGTATGACTGTTTTGAGGTTAAATAAGGTTGAATCTCATTACACTGCCCAGAAGTAGTAAAGAGTTGGACCTATTTCAACCATCAGGCACCCACGATTTGCCATCCAAAACAATAAAAAGTTATTATCATTCCTATTATTACTTTTTTAAGTTATTAACTGTTAGACACTTTTTTTAGACTTATCTCTGTGGAATAAAGAGTTAAGAACTTTGTTTAGTTTATCTGTCCTCTCTTCTTCATTCTCCAACTGTTAACAAAAGTATTAGACGTCAGAGGAGAAGGGGCTGGAGAACAATACACTTCAAAACCATTTGAAAATGGTCAGGCTCAGGATAACCACATAATGCAAACCAGGCAAAAATCCTCTGCAAATATCAATTAATATTTCCCGATACTTTAGAAAAGTTTTGCTACGTTTTGTGAGCATCTCTTTTTTCTTTTTCTTTTTTTTTTTTTCCCCAGAGAAGAAAAAAATGTATCTGATTACAGAAAGGAGCTCTGCAATGTAATGTGTATGAATATTCAGAAATCTTTTCATATTGCAGAGACGTGGAAGGTCAGAGCGCATAGCACCCTCTCCTGAAGCAGCACCCACTGCTGTTCTAGAATCCATTTTTATAACCTGCAACTGGTAAATTTATTAGGTAAATTTTTTATTTTTTTTTAAGGGAAGGAAAAGTTGTTAAAAAATTGCCAAACATGATGAACAAACTAGTGTGAGGTAATGTTTCAGAAATTTTCTGACGTTACAGACAATATTAAAAGATTACCATTTCCAGTGACTGTTTTATTGCCCCAGGCAGCAATGCAAGGCGCACTATTTCTCCCAGTTGTTTCCTGGATCTGGTTATTGCCCTCAGTTTCCACGTCGGAAGTCCCACTCCTGATAAATCACGACCTACTTAACTGACATAATTGTGGGCAGTATTATAGAAAGCTGATTCAAGAGGCATAAAGCACACCATCATTCCTATTGCTCTTCTTTAAATTCACTGTAACTTCATTAAACTCATATTAGTGACTATTGTAGAGAGTAAAGAGGTAAGAAGGAAACTGATTTTACTGTTGAGAAATAGCTTCCTTAGAGTTAGCAACTACTTAAACCTCAAATGACTATAAGCTCACAGCAGGTCCAGTGCATTTCAACATGTAGCTATGTTTTAATTTCCTTAAACCACAGGACATAAGTCACAGTTCCAGTAGTGTCAGGAGTGAGATATTCTGTGCTGATAACGATGCAAAATTTTATATCCTGCAGTTTCCAAATGCGTGGTATGCCACAGGCATTTCACAGAATTGAGAAGATGATGCCCCTTTGCTGGTACAGGTTTAACACCTTCAAAGGCAGTAGTTTAGTTGTCATTTTTGCGCTTAAATGAATGCACTTCTTTTATTTCTGTATACAAGAGTATCTTGAACACCACTGTGCTGCAAAACCATTTCCCTTCTTCCTCCTACCTTTGTAATTTTTTTCCAATTTCCTCTCACCAATCTAATGATGATTCTAGCTGATCAAGACATGATGTACCACCCGTTTAAATCTCTTATGCATTGAGCTCTTCCCATGGTGACCGATACTCTTTTCAAAGAGCATCCAACCACGCTCCCCAGTCTATTTTCCACCACATCGCACAGCTACCTGCATGGTCCCTAAAGGACATTCTCTATTTACACAGAACATAATTCTGCTATTAAAACTTTTAAATCAGTATCTATACCTAGAAATGTATTTCATCTTATTACTGTAGTATTTTAACTAGAGTATTACCCTTTCAGAACTTTTACAATTAGGAAGTATTATTATCTTGGTGTTCCAGATGAGCATCCAAGTCACATCACAAATGGCAACATGTGCAGGTTGAGGAAAAGCAAGAAACTGAAGCAGCTTCTCCAGAAGTTCACAATCCTCCTGAAGTGGTCATCTCTCTTCAAATTCCCTTCATTTATCTATATCCTGCCCTTCCAACAGTTAACCAGCTCGTCAATGAATTTTTTTTTTAAACTACAGCCATGAAAAATAAAAAGCAAGCAGCAGCTGTTGAAGACTACTCAAACTCAGAGACAGGTAAATCTGTATTTTGATGGCTAGAAACAGACCATGGGGTTATGTACTCTCGAGCTTAATCACCAGCACCTCTGAATAATACCACCACCTTTCTCAACTGCTATTCAGTGGGGAAAGAGAAAAGTTCAAGAAGAAGATATTCAGCAATTTGCAATTAATAAAAAAAAGTTAAATCACTTCTTTGTTTCCCACCCAAGCACCAGAGGAAGCATTCTCTAACACAGCTCCCTTGGGGCCCGCAATCAGCCCACAGAGCCAGTAGCTAAAGCAAGTACAGTTATTTTTTTCCATTTGATTGCATTGATTTACAATACCATTATTACAGTATGTTCTGGTCAGTACTATTTTTGACCATTCTATGCTGGCAAATCACTAAGTATCTATTTTAGAGAATGTAAAAATCTATGTCCCATCTACTTCAAAATGTTTAAGGTGCTTCTGCTCTTCATCGCGTCCTTCAAATTCTCTGACAGATTGTTCAACTAAATCTGCCAGTTTGTTTCTTAACAAAAGCACTTGATGCCTTTAAGCTTCTCCATTCCTTTCACTTTCCTGTATTGATTCTAATTTCCTTTCTTTATGCATTCATCCGACTGGAATCTCAGGCAGGAATCATTATTTGATAGGTTTTGTTCATGCACAGAATAACAAATAATTATCTGAAAGGCAGCAATGTGTGTTACTTTTGAACTACATATAGTCTGTAAAACGGAACGTACTTAAAATTTGTATGGCTTATTTTATGTTAAAAGATGGAATACTCTATTTGCTAACGCTTGCTGGAGGAGTTGTGAATTTTACAGTTTTTATCCTTTACAGATAATATGTCCATAATGCTTCAGCAGCAGATGATACCAATACATTATAAAAACAAGACAATTTACAGATCTATCATTACTTGTAAACTTACCGGCTTTTACATCCTGGTTGAATCGACAGTATTTCGAGTGCTCGAGCAGGGGTAGACATTGCTCTATAGGCGTCCAGACGTATGTCTCTGGACACAACAAGTCAGAGGGCCTATACTGACCCTAGAAAGGAGAAAAGAAAAAAAAAAAGAAAAAGAAAGTAGTCGTATCAGTTGCACAAGAACACTCTGGGTACACCTTTCCAGATTTTCCTATGAACAAGGAATAGTTTTAATCTAATCTACACCAAATGAGTCAGAAACAGCTTCACTGAAATCACAGGCTTACTCCTTTAGTAATTTCAGCACCATCTCAGGAATACAAACTTAACCTTGGCACTTGAAGAAAGTGTAAAATTAACATAACACGTTTTTATGGTATACAAGATGAACTAGAGAAGTTTTGGCTTTGCTTACTGAAGCTCTGTATTTAATCTATCCTCTAGAGTTCTGCTGAGCTGGTGCCGACACTAAAAAACTCAGCACCTCCAAAAGCAGCTCGTCTCAAGTGTTGGTCATTCTAGCAAATAATGGAGACCCAAAAAAAAAATCTAATGGAAAAAAACCCCACTTAACAGTAAGCAGGATGCTATTTTTATTGCATTAGTGATGGAGCATTTTGTTCATTGCTACTTAAATAGCAACATTTTCTTTTTAGTTCCTAGAGTTTTTCCTGGAATAGCTTACAGGTAATGATTAGTGAAATTCTACCTTTTTTGTTGATTTACTAAAAGGATATTCTTTGCAGACATTCCCAGAAACTAAACAGCCATAATTGTTTTCCCTTCAGCTACACAGAAAATCACCACCTCAGCAATAACCACCTCCTCTAATCAGATCTTCATTTGATTTAAAATAAGATTATTCATCAGCCTATAACGTAAGTCAAAAATCTATCTTTGAGCCACTATTCATTTAATCCATACCCTCTCAGTGTTCAGAGCTTTATGGTGGCAATGTCAAATTAACTTTTAAACTGAAAATTCATTACACGTATGTCTGTTTTTCAAGCTGATAGAATAAATAGAATGAAAAAGTTTAAGGATCTCAATTATACAGGTCTTGAGGCAACAGTTAAAAGACTGAGCATTATAGGAAATCACACTGCAGTCGATGCAATTAGGAGTTCTTCATATCAGTAATATTAAATAGGTAATGAAGATGATCGTCTTGATATGAGGTTGCTTTTTCTCCAACATCTACTACGAAAATGCAAAGTGGTCTCAAATGAAGCTGACCAATGTTTGGGAAGGGACACAGATAATTACTGTGACTACAGTCTGGTGATAAAGAAGCATTTTTAAAAGTTGCATTCACAAACTCTGCTATTCTTTTAGACACATCCTTATGCTGCAACACCCAGTTTTGGAGAATCAGAAGAACCATTTTTTGAATGCTGCAGAGATTCCCAATTCCTTTCATTCTCTCACTGTTCGACTCTTCACAATATTTATAGCAGAATTAACTTTTTTCATTACGTATTTCCCACCAACTTTAAATTGTTGAGAAATACAAAAATTCTCTCTCATAAAAACAAAGTCGTAACTGTCCACATAAAAAAAAAAAGCTTCATAGTGAACCTTGTCAAATACCTGATGTATCTTTTCGAAACGTGGTGCTTGAGGACATGGTTTAGTGGTGAACTTGGCAGTGCTGGGTTAACGGTTGGACTTGATGATCTTAAGGGTCTTTTCCAACCTTAACGATTCTATGATTCTATGAAATGAGTTTGTATGACTGATTTTCTCACTTGAAAAACATTCAGGATTGACTTGTAACTACCATTGCTTGGGTTTTGTTGTTTGTTTTGCTTTTTTTTTTTTTCTTTTAAATTAAATGCAAATTTCTATATTAAGTTAAAACAATATTCCTCCAATTCCATGCAGAAGCTTAAACCTCAAGGCCTTAGAAAATCCTCTGGAGCCAGAGAATGGAAATGACATTATTAAATAAACCACTTTGAAATGTTACGCTGTCTAAACAGAAATAGTTGAAAGGGTACGTGAAGGTAACGCTTAAAGAACACTTTTAGTCACCGTTACTCAGATGAAACAATTTAAGGACTTAGGGAAAAAAATATGCCTTTTCAGTCAGATTTTTTAAAAAATAGAACATAATTACTTGTTGATTTAAAGACATTTTCTTAACTGGCCAAGAAGGTAGAGATAGCCAAGTAACCATCTTTCAGGGTTGTTGCTTAAGTACAGAAAGTACAAGGTGGCAGTTTAGTCTTTCCTAGTAGCATGGGAATACTCGTGGGTATAAGTAAAGATTGCTCAGCCACTTTCCTAGAAATTACTGCCCCTACATCTTGAAATACATCACATTTATGAATCCCGTGCGTGAAAATCATATCGCTACACAGCCCTATTCTAAATTTCCCAATTACTGCTATAATGTCATATTCTGTCATAAAATGGGATGTATAAAATTAACTGCATTGCAGCATCACTAGCTTGGTTATAACAAAAAAGAGCTGCTTTAGTACTGAGCAAAACAGTCATGGGAAAATTTGATTATCCAACCCATCACTGTAGATTCAGTATTTATTTTAGGCATCAAAATACCCGACGTAGGAGGGAAAAAGGAAGAAATAGTTCTGAGGTGACTTCCTTTAGATGTTTTCTTCCCCCAAAATTTAGAATCTTGTTACTAAACTTCCCTGAAGATATATGAGGCTGAGGTGATGACACATCACTGCCCAGTGACACACAATGTAGTTAGGGGTAAAAATTCAACAAGCCATTGATGCTCTTCAATATCCTTCCTTTCTAAAAGTATTTCCAAACATACTAGAAGTAAGATATTTCTTCCGTAAAGGCTTTTTATTTACACCACTGGTTAAACCCGCATCCCATGACTCATTCCGTGGAGGAAGTGGGAACACGACGACATATCGAGGTGAGTTTCCCCGTGAACAACATTGGTACTATGTCTATATTGATAGAATTAAAAAGAGAATCCACAGAATTTGTTAAATCAAATGCAATAACTTCTAAGGGCTTTTGCCTTACCCCC